CAATCGCGAGGAGCGGACCATCGGTAGCGTTTTTGGGTGCGGGGGGGGATTCGCACCTTCTGGTCATCTCGCACTCTTTCAAGAACTATAATTTCAAACCTTAAGTCAGTCTTCAGATCAGTTCTTCTTGTAGAGAAACTCAGCGGTTTATCATTCTTTCAATACTTGCGATTGCTTTCAACTTGCTTAGCAACGTGAGGTGTTAATATTCAGAGCGAAAAATGTGCAAAATTTGCTGAAAGTTCAGTATTTTTTTCCAGCACTGTGTTTCGCTTCCACATTTCTCTTGCCCACGGTTTCACACTCCTGAAAATTATTGAATTATATACATCGCTCACTTGGTTTGTCATGCTGTCAACATACCCTTCCATCCTTCCCCGAAATCTCCGTCTGTGGAAGGATGAAAGATTTTCCTGCTAGAACGACAGTCAAGTTAGTGGTGCAAATAATACAGTGATTTTCAGAAGTGATGTGGCGTAGTGGGAGAGACCGATCGCTAGTATATTTGGAATGTACCAGGATTTTGATCTATTAGGATTATTAAATCCGTCTTGATTGTCGTTATGCTGCTTCCACCGCTATGTAAAGGACCCACTTAGTACGTTAGAAACACCACATCAGTTGGTACCTGAAGTGAGCCTAGCGCGCACGCCACGTAGCATCTGTTAGAAAAGAGGTGCGCGGAAGGGTTTATCCTTCAGAAAGTAGTATGAAAATACATGAGAAACCACTGCTGAAGTCGAGTTAAAATCACGAGAAACTATTATCGCAACAACTCTCGAACATATGAGGTTAATGGTCGATTTCTTCCTTAGTATAAGCGCTTCAGTGTGTTACTAGTGTTCCAGGATGATATTTTGAGGTGTTTTGAATTATGTCGATAATAGATATCTGAATAAGTTTTTATGGTTAAGAAAGATCGAGCTGCCGAAATGGAATCACAAGACGTCGATGATATTGTTGCGCAAACATCTCGAGTTTTGGAGGAGTTATTCAAGGCGTATTCACGCCACTCCGAATTCATTCCATCAGTACTTTGGTGTCTTCGAGTCTTGCTTACGGACGAGTCGTTCGAAGAAGGTTGGATACTGTTTTCCTTACGTGGAGCCGTCTGCTCACCAGTGGCGAGAGCGCCAGTACTGTCCAACTCAGCAGTGCTAAAATGCTCACTTCATAGAGTGCCAACAAGTGGTCAAGTCCAGCGTCGATCGATTGGCCGAATTCTACTCAACGAAGCCTTTGTGGACACAGTATATGGTAATCAATGAGGTGGGAGGTCTTTTTTTTCTTTAAAATCAGTGATATTTCAGTCTAACACGTGTTTTTCTGGGGTTTTTTTTCAGTCTATCCATGTTGCTTTAGTTACGGCGTTTGAACATTCCGGAACTGGCGGTTTTGCTGGGGAATGCCTTTCGCAGCCGGTATTGCGCGACCAGCAAGAAGGTGGCCAGAAGTAAACCTGTGACCGCCTTCTGGCCGTCCTTCTCATCATACAGTGCGCTGCTCTCGCAAGAAAAGCGAGGCGTTAGTCGCTTTTCTCCTTCAAATAATAATAATATTCATTAGCATGTAGCTGAAAGCAGTGTGTGAACCTTGTTCGACTGAATCAGCGCTGGTTTTCGAGCAGCTCTTTACTTTTGTGCTGTATTAAAACTAAGTAAAGCTGCACAATCTGGAAATAATGGTGATTTGAATAGGAAATATTCTAAGTGAAATTTGCGCTGTGCCATATATAGAAGAACTATGGCCACTTCAACTTGTATTTGTTTGCTATGTATAATGCTAGTGGTAGTTACAGAAAACAGTCTATTTATTGACGTTCTTTTAGGGCATTTTTCAATTTATACAAGTAGCAGTGCGTCAGCAGCTGGCACGAAAGGTCCCTCTGGAAGCGGTTAGTCTTTTGTCTTTTTAACACCAAATACATCGTAACGTATTTATTCTACTACTTTTTTTCATGGCAACGCATGCAGTACATCTTATTGGTTGAGCAGCAGAAGCAAATTTGCGAAAGACTGCATGCAAACTGATTGCACTTATTTAATGCTAACGTACAGGTTAAAAAAGTGTCGATGTCGAACAGTCACTCGTTGTTCCTAATGCAAAGCGGTGAAGTGTTTGGATGTGGACTCGCATCGAACTTCGGACGAGATGAAAGCCTCGGCAGTCTGCTTGTAAACCCCGTTAGGATTGATCTTCCTGGAGAGGTAATTATCCGTGTTATTTAATTATTAGGTCGTCCAAGTCCTCAGCGTTTTGTGTAATTTTGTACATTCATTGCTGATTAAAAACTCATTCTCCCTTGCGTCTCAGTAGTACATCCTGAAGAGAATTTCTTGCGCTATCTGATGGTATAATTGCCGTTTCATTGCTTGATTAAACCCCCTTTTTTCAAGAGTTTTTCAAGCATGTCAAAAGAGCAACTTCGGACGATATTGTTCTTCAACTACAAATTGGGTCAATCCGCAGTCGAGACAGCTCGAAATTAACCAGGTGTGGGGGCCAATAGTGTTGGAGAAAGCACCGTGCGACAATGGTTCGACAAAATCCGTGAACCTTGTAGCGGTCGACCTAAAGCAATACCTGACGAGGATTTGAAGGCGTTTGTGGAGGCTGACCCATCCCAAACAGTTCGAGAGATTGCAGAAGGCTTGGCAAATCCACTGTTGCAGATGGTCTGGAACGCATTGGGAAGGTGAAAAAACTCGACAATTGGGTGCCCCACAATCGGAGTGACCGGCAGGAATCGGCACGTCTCGAGGTTCCTTCTGCATTGCTTTTGCGCAGCAGAAACGACCTTGTCACCTGTGATGAAAAATGGGTCATGTATGATAACAGGAGACGTTCCGGACAGTGGTTGGATTTCGACGAACCACCGAGGTAATTTTCAAAGCCGAACCCTCACGAAAAAAAGATTCTGGTCACGGTTTGGTGGTCATCGGCTGGTGTGATCCACTATAACTTTTTGTCACCAGGCCAAACCATCACAGCAGAGTCCTACTGTGAAGAAATCGACGAAATGTACCGAAAATTGCGTCAGCTGCAGCCAGCACTTGTCAACAGAAAGGGTCCGATTCTTTTGCATGACAACGCCCGCCCACACGTTTCACAAATCACTATCCATAAATTGAACGAATTGGGGGTTGAAGTTCTACCTCACCCGCCATATTCTCCAGACCTTTCACCAACCGACTATCACCTTTTCAAACATTTTCAGAACTTCCTTGCTGGAAAATACTTCATCAATCAGGACCAGGCAAAAAGCCTTCGTGGATTTCGTAGATTCTCGACCACCCAGTTTTTTTTCTTTGATGGGATTTCTCGACTGGTGTCACATTGGCAAAAGTGTGCTGATTCGAACGGTGCTTATTTCGATTAAATCCGATGAGTATTAACACGTTGGCGACATTGCGTCCCACTGCTGGGACGCACCTTTTTTGCCGCGTGGGACATTGCGTCCCACTGCTGGGATGCGGCATGGGTAAAAAACCAATTTAAAAACGTTTCAAATTTTCAACAGCTACATATTGTACAGGAAGGCATTGTAGAATATACAGTAGCTGCAAAACTAGCAGTTGTGTCATTGGGAGTATTTTACGGAGGATACAAAGGAAAGTGATTTCCTTAGGAAAAAAAGGTAATTTTTGGATAAATAGAACTCAAGCTCCACATGTAGATAGCTAACGTGATAAGGTAACTTTCAGAAAGTTGTGATCGTTTAAAGTGAAACACTCAAAACGCTGAGAAAATTCCGGACAACCTAACACTATTCACTTGTTGCTATCCTAATTTTTTTTTTGCAGAATCATCCCGTTGTTGACATCGCAGTGGGACCACATCACTCAGTCTTCATTACGTCAAAAAGTGTAAGTTTCACTCAAGTAGAGTTGTTGTATAACTCAGCCGATCCAATAATAACGAACGGCTGACCGAGATCATAATTTGGAATGAATCCAGTGTTTCGTAACTTTCTTACGAATAATGGTTTTCTCCTAAGGATCTTCTGCTAGGCATGTGAACTGCTGTCCTGAACAAGACGGTTCGATTCACGGATTCATCTCCCAGCTACACTATTGACGAATTGCATTTTTCTTCTACGCGTTCTTCTTCGTGAACCCGCTTCCGTTTCATCTTCCGTTGGGGAGGCATCTAGTCCAGGAGAGTCCTATCTTTTCACTCGTTTTCGTAAACAACTATTTCCTTTCGTTTTCGCAAACAACGCTTTCCTAAAATTCGACGTACTACAAAGCACCGTTGGGGCTTGAGCAGTAAAAATGAAGTGTACCTACAGACACGAAACCCAAACTCCCTCGCTTGATCTAGATCGATGCGAACATCTATTGCTCTTGTGGTGATTTTACAGAAGATAGTTCATACTTGGTGACTAAAAACAGGCCGTCTTACTCTCGCTGAGTTGCAGCGCACGGAACATAATGGTGAAGAAGATAAATAGATAAAAGCATGGAGGAACTGCCAGGATGTGCTTCGGAACAGCGACTTCTCATACCTTTTCGACAAAAGCACAATATTAGACCTCGTTTATCGTCATTTTCGTTCGACTGGAGATATGGGGCCACTTTCAATAGCCCCCTTCACAAAGCTTCTCCCTTTCCCTATATGGGTTTGTACTACGTTGACTTTGTAGAAATTCGATCCTGAGACTCTGTCATACAAAGACGTCAGTCACGTGGATTGATTTTCCACCATTGTATGATGCCAGACTGAAGGTGAATGAATTCTCATAATTGCGCTCTTGTTGTGGTGGACCCTACAGAGTCATCTGATTCGGAAGCCTTCAAATATTAACTCCTCATGTGTTGCTTTCGTCATTCATTCCTGATTATGTGAGTAGATCTTTGGTGTTCGGCGGTTGAGCTTGATCTACTGCTATCGATAATGTATACTCTTTAACATGAGTTTTTAAGGTGTACGTGTGCGGATTGAATTCAAGTTATTGCCTCGGTTTGAAAAAGGATAAATGCCGCTATCCACTGACGAAGGTTAAACTTCCTCTTCCTGAAGGTGTGAAGAGGGTTCATTTTGATAAGGTTAGTTGGAAGGGTACATTTAATGACTACCACTGAAGACAACCTTTCTGCTTATTTACTTTTGTGCTTTGTGTTATTTATAAACAAATTTCCCAGGGTAAGAGTTCTAGCTAGATTTTGTTCCACGATTACGAACATTTTCGAGTTCAGCGTTGCAGTATATTTTATCCTAGAAAGCTGAGAATGTTTTACTTTGAAAAATACCTGGAAGTTGTATGATGTTGCGTAAAATACTTTTGAATGTTCCGCTTTAGGTCTTCACAAATGCTCATTGTACAGCTATTTACTCATTTGTCAATCCCGCGAGCGAGGTGTGGATCACTGGGAAAACACCGCTCAGAATTTGCGAGAGTTTTACAAGAATAGAGAGGAGTTTAGGTAAGCAAATTGTCTCTTTTTCAGATGAGGAATCAATTCTTTTAAGCAGTCGCCCTCTATTTACCTTCCATAATCGTGGAGAGTTACTGACGCTATGTAATTAAGGGATTTTGTTCTTAAATTCCACACATTAGTGATGGTCCGCTAATACTATCATGCGAACCCAAATAAGTTAGGAGGTTTCTCCACATTTCCTCGTTCCAGAAATTTATGAAGCTATCCGATCAGATCCCTACTGTCTCAGCGCATCCTGCGAATTGGGAATCGTTGCGACTGGCGCAGTGCCAGCGGTATGTTAGACTATAATGTCATCTCCCTTACTATAGTCTTGTTTCGTCCATGTCTTTATTAACGTAACTTTATTATAGATTTTACCAGTCAGTACTGTCACACTCAGTCACAAGAGAAGAAATTTGACAGATTCAGTGGTATGGTATTTTTTTAGTAGTTCTGTTGTCACGGCTTTTGCAAAAGTCTTCTTAAGGTCACCCTTTGTAATAGTTCTGGCACACTCAAATATACCTTTGATCCCCACAGTGGTCGAGCACCTCTGGAGCCGTGTGTGATAAGTGTGAATGGTGTACTTGTTAACCTTCACTGCGTCGATTACAACGTAACAGCAAAAGGTTTGCTTGTAATTTTTGATTATCTTCTAATTGCTTATTAGGTCAAACAGCCTATGAAATCTAATCAATCTCCTATCCCTGGGCCATTCTTACACCAATGATTCCATCGGGAGGTGTTTTCTAGTGTGTCGATGAGGCTGTTAGGAGGAGACGTAAAAGACAGTCGCAATTCGCTGTGCCGTCGCGCGCGCGCATAGTGCAGCGTGCGCAGCAGGTTACGGCGATCGCCAGCCACGCTCTGCGCAGCATATTACG